GAATCAAGGCACAATAGGTACCTAATCATCAATAGTTACGCGGTCTTATGCGACCGCTTGGGGTTTGATGGGGTAAACAGCCTAAAGAACTTGTTCCCTTAGAGACATTCCGGTTTTTACAGGATCCCGTTTAGATACGTGTTTTAATTAAACTCACACGAACATCCCGTTTTCAGTGTCCCGCAAAAAAATGTAATTTTATTCAAACACGTCATTATGTGTGTTGGAAACCTGGATTGTTGTGGAAACGAGCGAAGCTGTGGGCAAAAGCAATTTAAGAATAAAATAAGTTATTAATGACCTCCTTTCATTTTGTTTTGAATAATAAAATTTGACTGAACTAAGTCGAAACTGAAGGGTAAATCCAAAGTTATCTAGGATTTAGTTGATGATAAACGAGCTCCAGTAAATACAGCTGATTTATGACTCATGAAACTCATGAAGCTGTAAATCTTTCCTGAATTACCATCAGTCAGTCATGCCACAACTACTGGTATGCATGAACTGATGCAATAAATTTGACTATAGGATTACCTACGTATACTTTGGATAGAAAGGTTGTAGTGTTCTTATTGAAAATCAATAGTTTTGGAAGCGCAAGTTATATTTGGGAACTGTACATATAGGACCAGTGTGCTTACCATGAGTTTACATCAGGTGTGCTCACTAGCGACTACGTAAAGCTTCAACCAGACCAACGTGTGCAGATCTCCATCGCTGGCGCGATCAAAGGCCAATGACAGGTCACGCGACCCATGACAGTCCGCGCGACCTGTCACTAGCCTATGATCGCGCCGTGATCGCGCCGGCGATGGCGATCTGCACGCGTTGGTGTAGTTGGAGCATAAAAAAATGACATTAAATGTTTGACAATTTGAATAGCTTTCAAGAACTACAATTTTCGTACATTTTTCTTTAAGCAAGGCTTTTCTGTAAGCACACTGAAACGTCTTTTGTTAGAAACAAAATGTATACTTCATTATGAGAGTTCAGTCTCTATTAAATCCATTTTTTTTTCTACAGTTGCCTAAAAATTGACCAAATCCATTGACATAAAGTCTATCTCAAGCAGTCGTTAATTTAATTTGGTATTCGAAGAAGAAAAATGGTCTAATCTGGAAAAAAGAAACTTTCAATTAACTAACATCCCGTCTAGACGTCTGGCAATACCATCAAGGAAAATTCCAGAATAAGTTTCCAGTTAAAATATTTTCTTTAATAAAGTTGCGTCTAATATGTTACCAAAGACATAGTAATATACTAACACTAGCTTTATATTTTATTTATGAAAACCAAGCAAGAGCATGACCCTCTCTTAATGACTAAGGTAAATTGAGGACTTAGCTGGCCACGTTAACATCCACGGCACAACCATGATACGGCTTTGATCTTTTTCCCCCCTGTGGTCTATTGGTAAGACCACCTGCTTCAGACCGAGAGATTCTGGGCTCGATTCCCAATGGGGGAAACATTTTAGCTACCACCATCTTACCTAAGTCTGTCGCCATAATAACGTTAACAGTATTGTTATGATCCGGAAGTTAGGATGTAAGATTGCCAGTCTTTGGTTGAGGATTCCAGGTTTCACCTTCGGCCTGATCGTCACTTTCCATCAGTGTGCTTACCATGAGTTTACGTTACGTGTGCTCGCTAGCGACTGCGTAAAAAATGATATTAAATGTATGACATATTGTGCAGCGCCCCTAGCGGCTACTTTGTGAGATGCAGGCCTATACCTTCCTCGTTGTGGATAAAAAACCTTCCAAAGCCTAAGTGAAACAGCGGGAAAAGGCTAGTATACACAATAATAACCTCTTTTAACGTCCAAATATGAATTCACTGGAAACCTTATCCTTTTCTGTGTCTCGAAACTGACAACCACAAAGGAACAACATCTTCGAAATGTGGAAACTAGAGGAAATGTAAACCCGGAACTACACTTAAAGTGAAGATATTATTATTGTCTTTTATTTGGAAGCTAGTTTTGCCGCGAACCTATGCGTGAGAATGGTTTGAATATTTTTTCGCGTTTGTGCAACATTTTTCTTTGATACCAAAAACCTGCGGAAAATCTGAAAAATGGCCATGCTTCATTTTAAGGTAAAGGACGTGCAACAAGGATCTCTAACCATCAGAAATGTAAGCACAACGCCAGGAGAGCTACCCTCGGAGATGACATCACCCCACCATGTACCTCGTCAGCACAACCACTACCACTCTGACAAGATTGCCCGACTAAGAAGAAGTGAGCAGTATCCACCCTTATGGTAGACTGAAGACCTCATAGGGAATCATTGGGAGAGGCCTATGTTCAGCAGTGGATTTCCTATGGCTGAAATGCTGACTGTGACTGTAATTTAAAATCAAAAGCCACCATAAACTATTACAATGATTTTTAGTATCTTTAGCCTCGCTTACAGTGGTGCTGGGTCTTAAAAAGCGAAAATATACAAAAGGAATGTCGTGACATTACAAAGAAAAATCTGATAAAACTACATGCTTTGTTTCTGAAAAAGATTTTAGCCACGTGTACATAGAAATGACAGTCTTTAATACGAGGTGCTTTTATAATACTAGGTATACGAATAATCACCTTCATTGTTTGAAGTATATTTGAATATTTGATTTTTTTGCAGCAAGGTTCTGGAGTGGAGGCCACGTACCTGAAACCGCAGCGTGGGACGTCCACCCACAAGGTGGACCGACGACCTCACGAAGGTAGCAGGAAGGCGCTGGATGCAGGCCGCTACCAAACGGGCGATATGGAAAACATTAGGGGAGGGGGGTTTGTTCAGCAGTGGACGTCCTTTACGTATTTGTTTTTTTTGCGGCGTCGTTCGTGTTTTGCTCCTCCCCGTTTCTTTCCTAGGGGGTGAATTTTGGGAGACACCCACCAATGAGTGCACTTAACTGTGATGGCAGTGCGTACCCTATATTTCACGAGTTTTCTTTCCCTTGTACCTCGAAATTCTCAAAAATTAAGTGTAAAAATGCAAGTAGAAGTCACTTGGTGGTTAACTAACGTAAGATCATACTTCGTCCAGCGCTTCGGACCATAAAATCAGTGAATTCGTACGTTAACAGCCCACAATGAATAATGTAAAAGAACGGAGTCCGAGCAAGCATACCCAAAGTGAGATTTATAGGGTAAGTAACTCCGCAAAATACTGAATGGTGTGGTTACTGCGAAAAAGCGGGAATAGTGATGTGGGATGGCGATATCGATAATTGCGTAGATGATTTTTTGCAATTTGTAAAGTGAAATTGGGCATAATCATTTGATGCATTATGCACTTAATTACCAGCTGTATAGCATACTAGCTTTTGCCCGCGGCTTCACCCGCATGAAATTTAGTTTATCACAGATCGTCATAAATTATAGCCTATATGTTATGCTGGGTTATAAACAATTATACTGTAAAGTTTCATCAAAATCCGTTTAGTAGTTTTTGCGTGAAAGAGTAACAAACATCCAGACATCCATACAAACATTCGCATTTGTAATGTTAGTAGGATTTTAACTATTATGGTACCAAGTTTTTCTTTTACTTTCAGTTTTCTAATAATTGTCACAAACACAAGTGTTGTGTGTTGACTTGAACTATACTATACATTTGACGGGCGAGCAAAATGCCATGTAACTATCGATAATTTTCAAGTCTTCTCAAAATAATACACAATGCACAAAACTACGTCTAATAAGTGTCGCGTACACTAAGTTCCGTGAGATGTACATTTATTTTCTGTTTTATCTACAGATGAGTGTTATAGAACATGATCTATCGATATTATTATACATTAAGAACTGTCGGTTCGACATCACTAAAAGAAGTCCATTTTTGTAATTTACGACTATTCTATTTCTAGTCTGCTAGGGATTGTTTAAAAATAGTCCAGTTTAAAAGACATAAAAGTTTGTTGAGAGCATAAATCTTGATTAATGTACGTAGTTTTGTTTGTGGAAAATGTCTGGTTACCTGTATCATTGTGGAAAATTTATTTGGTGGAAATTTTAAACAATGTATAGTTGTTTAAATTATTTCAGTTCTTTAGTTTGGCGGTTGTAAAGTAAGCTGTTTTATAAGGATAATCTTAGCTAGATATCTAGGTAAACACAGTGACAACTTATGTATTGTAATATAAACTTTTTTGCTATTTTACGTACCTACCTACTATCTAAGATGCTAAAATGTGTAGCTTGCTTGACTTATCCAGTGGACTTAGGTAGGTTGATAAATAATTATAATCTAAATATATACATATATCTCAAAGGTGACTGACTGACTGACATAGTGATCTATCAACGCACAGCCCAAACCACTGGACGGATCGGGCTGAAATTTGGCATGCAGGTAGATTTTATGACGTAGGCATCCGCTAAGAAAGGATTTTACGAAACTCCACCCCTAAGGGGGTAAAACGGGATCGACGCGTAAGAAGTCGCGGGCGGCCGCTAGTAAAAATATATTCTTGGACATTTCACACTGAGCTATCGAATCCCAAACTAAGCAAAGCTCGTCCTATGGGTACCAGACAACGGTTAAAACATACTTACCAAAGTAAATTAACTAAAGTAAATCCTCAAATAAAAAGAAATTGCAGTTATTAATTTTAAAGTTTTGCGTTAGGTACATAATTTAATTAATTTAACCCACTTGTTACGGAATTCACTTTTTCTATCACTTACCTTAAATCAGTCATGATAAATTTATGTCAAAACAATCGCTCCAAAACTTTATAGTTATTTACGTCAGTGTACTTATAAGACTTGGACAGTACTGCGACACACCTCATCTTTCAAATGTTGCACATAAAAATAGTTTACACTACCCACATTAGTAAAAATATTTATGTAAAAACTAGCGTTCTTTTAAAAGAACGCTAGTAACAAGTGGGTTAAACAGGCTTTAACGCGAAAAAGATACCTAGAAAATACTTAAACAATAAAAGAAAACCCTATAAGAAAATTAAAAATGCATCCTCTTCGCTGTCACTGTCAGTTACTCCAGGGGTCGATGGGCCATTTTCAGCATCCTCCTCGCTGTCACTGTCAGTTACTCCGGGGGTTGACGGGCCATTTTCAGCATCCTCTTCGCTGTCGCTGTCAGTTTCGGATTCTGTTATGGTAGTGGGTGCAAGCGTTGTTCTCTCTGTGTATATCTCGCAGTCATCTTCGTTTGTTGATGGTGGAATGTACCGGAAGGAGTCGACCAACACCACTGATCCCACAGATGCCATACCCATCAGTACTATCTGAAAAAGAAATTAAGGTAAGTACTGCACTTATTGAACCAGCGAACTGTATACCGCCAAAAGTAGTTTTAACTTTTATGTCACCGGAAAATCTGACGTCGTTAAATTAAAATCTAAAGTAACCTAAACCACTGTCAGTTTACAATTTGACGCGCTATATTTTAAACTAGCGGCCGCCCGTGACTTCATACGCGTGGGTTCCGTTCTACTCCCTTAGGGGTGGAGTTTCGTAAAATCCTTTCTTAGCGGATGCCTACGTCATATCATCTACCTGCATGCCAAATATCAGCTCAATCCGTCCAGTGGTTTGGGCTGTGCGTTGATAGATCACTATGTCAGTCAGTCAGTGAGTCAGTCAGTCACCTTTGAGTTATACAGTGTGAGTCACGTTAAAGTGTACATATGAAAATATATGAAACTAGACCTATTTTTATCGATAAAAAAGAGGTCAAAAATATTTTGAGATTTTTTTTTTAATTTTTAAAGAATTTTTTTTCTTTCAATCACTTATTGTAAAGAAAACGTAATAACTTTTAAACTAAGCGGTATATCCTGATAAAAGAAAAACAGTAATAATGCTAAATAACAGGCGATACTAAAAAAATACATGTAATACCCTGAAAATGCCAACAAANGCGGGGGTCGATGGGCCAATGTCAGCATCCTCTTCGCTGTCACTGTCAGTTACTCCAGGGGTCGATGGGCCATTTTCAGCATCCTCTTCGCTGTCACTGTCAGTTTCGGATTCTGTTATGGTAGTGGGTGCTAGCGTTGTTCTCTCTGTGTATATCTCGCAGTCTTCTTCGTTTGTTGATGATGGAATGTACCGGAAGGAGTCGACCAATACCACTGACCCCGCAGATGCCATACCCATCAGTACTATCTGAAAAAGAAATTAAGGTAAGTACTGCACTTATTGAACCAGCGAACTTTATACCGCCAAAAGTAGTTTTAACTTTTATGTCACCGGAAAATTTTGACGTAGTTACCTGGTTCCTAACCTGGGGGTAATTACCCCCGCAGGGGTAAAACGGAAATCTTAGATGGGTAACATGGGATGGCACGAAAAAGTATTAAAATAGCAATAAACAAAATAATAGTACGGTATAGGCCGCCCGCAGAATCGCTAAAATCAAGTGGCAGTGGGCGGGGCACATAGCTCGAAGAGCTGATGGCCGCTGGGGCAGGAAGGTTCTTGAGTGGCGACCACGGGCCGGAAGATGTAGCGTGGGCAGGATGCGAGCGGCGCAGGACCGGTCTTTGTGGAAATCCTTGGGGGAGGCCTTTGTACGAGTACAGCTGTGGACGTCTTTCGGCTGAAACAACAACAACATAGGCCGCGACAAACTTATTTAGCAAAAAACGTGCAATTTCTTACATAATAAACATATTTTCGTTCGATTTTTTGTGGTTTCAATTATTTTAAATTAGCTATAGGGGTAAACTCAATTCTCATACTTGTTCACAGGGGTAGTGACATTGAAAAGGTTAGGAACTACTGATATAAACTAACCTAAACCACTGTTAGTTTACAATTTGACGCGCTATATTTTAAACTAGCGGCCGCCCGTGACTTCATACGCGTGGATTCCGTTCTACTTCCTTAGGGGTGGAGTTTCGTAAAATCCTTTCTTAGCGGATGCCTACGCCATATCATCTACCTGCATGTCAAATATCAGCTCAATCCGTCCAGTGGTTTGGGCTGTGCGTTGATATAATATCACTATGTCAGTCAGTCAGCTTTAAGTTATATATTGTATTTAGATTAGTATAGACTATAAAATAACTATAGGACTATCCAATATGCATTGTGCAATGCAAGGTAGCAGGGAAGGGCTGGACGCAGGACGCTACCAATCGATAAACATGGAAAGCATTGGGGGAAGCCTATGTTAAGCAGTGGACGTCATATGGCTGAAATGATGATGATGATGATAATTATAAATAAATACGAAAATTCGACTTCTCAAAAGACGAAAAATGCATCCAGTGTGGCAAAAGCATAAGCGTAGTGTTCCGTAGTTACCAATACGCACACCTGTCGTAGTAGTATCCATTTTAGATAGTAAAAACTTAATCATGGTGAAACGCAACTACAACGAAACTGCAACTGCTAGTTACTTTTGAGTTGCATCTAAGTTTCTGCTATAGCGTCCGTTGAGAGACCACACATGATGCGGCCAGTTTGAAACTTTCAAACTTTGCAACTCAAAAGTAACTAGCAGTTGCAGTTTCGTTGCAGTTGCGTTTCACCGTCTGTTCTGGGCCTTAGTCAACAGTTAGGACTTTTTAACCTGTAGGTAGCCTACTTCACCGATTTCATGCACTAACACCATGTTTGTTTTTACGTTTCATAATTTTATCATTTCGGGCATTGATTTATATTGTATGTCGATTATAATTGTACTCGTAGGTATTTGTGATAACGGAACTCACATGGCCTTGAAATGTGTTGGCGCCATTCACGGGGAAAATTTCTAATGAGTCAGCTATCACTTGCAGCATTTACCATAATTATGCAACTGGACATTTAGGAAAATCAACTATTCTTTCAAATTAAGTTTCGGTATTTTTTGGGTTAACTACGGATCAAATTAATCAAATGGACAAACTCTCATTTCTGCCGTTGTTGTAAATTCAATTTAGAGTAAAAGTATACAATTCTCAATATATGAGAAATCTTGAAAGTAAAATATCTACATTCTACATACACAAGGAATTTAGATATACATCAGCTACAGGACTTTAAACGTAAATGTTGCAATAAAAAATATTGAGAAGGAATTATTGGTGCTTATCTATTGATTTTGTTTGTAGGTACGTACTTAGTAGCGGACTAATCTTTATTGCTACAAATGTATACATTTGCGGATGTTAATATTATGAAATATTATCTAATAATGATAGAATAATACAATTTCATTCCTTACAATCTATTAAAGTTATATTTTACACAAACAAACAACGCATGGGCTATGTTTGTAAGTGTACCTAAAGGGCACACTTACTGAAGGTCAGTTCTCTAGAATCTTAGGTTCTCTCTAGTACTCTCTTTAGGAACTCCTTGACTTTTACCCCTATGGTTTCGTCGTTCCAAACAAAGCATGTCCACTACTGGACAAAGGTCTTCCCCAAGGATTTCCACAATGAATATTTATCGAGGAAGGCTACAATAACATCACTCTATAGCCAATAGAGGCGGAGCAGTAAAGAAAAATGTTGCAAAAAAGAAAAACATAATTCAAACTATTTTAACGCGTACGAAGTCGCGGAAACAGCTAGTAACAATAAAAACCGAACCAGTAAAGGCCAAGTTTCCCGCGGGAAAATTAAACTGTCAATGAACCAGCAACGGAATTAATCAGAAAAACATAGCTACGATTGTGGCTACGAGGAGTTCGAATGATCGACTTTGCTCCAGTGCAAAAAATTAAAGTTAACAATTCTCTCAACCGAGAGATATTCCTAATCCTAAATAACCAACATTAAGTACGCATTACTGAATGGACACTTAACACTTAAGTCATTTGTTCGCAAAATCTCTTAAAAGAATGGTGATTTTTCTTGGTCGCCACTTTTTGAGGCTTCACAAGATTAGCGATTAGATCTCCTAAAGAGGAGGTAAACAATATTTTGTTAATGTTATTAGTTAGTTTGTCTACATTTCAGACAGATCCAGTAATTTGGAAACACGGGACCGATTTAAGAATTGCACAATTGTTAAAACATTTATAAAAAATAATATTTATACCAGAAGTAACAAATGCAGACAAGGCAACACTTACGTGACCATTAAATTCGTTATGAGTGGGATTTAAAACGCCAATCCTCAGTGATTTCCATCCAGAAATGAAATTTGCGGACATTGGCGTATACACCACTGTACCAATGGTGCCATAATTCCCATTTTCATTCATTTCCTGAATTATGATGATAATCTGGTTGAATAGTTGTTTATCGTCCATGTACAAGTTGATTTCAATATCACCACCAACACTCATAAGAAAGTTGAAAGATGCGACGCAACTCATCAAAGCTGCTGCAGCAATGAAGTTCTCGGATAGAGGATGTGGGCTGTCGATGTCTATCGAGGAGTAATTTGAAAATATCCAAGGCACCACGTTTGGATTATCTCTACAAGCCCCTTTTCCCATGTCAAATAACGTATCAAAGTCATTCTCGAAGTTGTATGAGACACAATCGCTGCACAGTACACTCGGGCCCATGAACAGCCACACAAAACACAGAAGAGCCGCTCGCGGCATCCTGACGACACGGTTGAGCCGGACGCTCCGACAATAACTTATAATTACGAACAAAACTAAATCTCTGTAATTTTATTAATCTCCATTATCGAAATATTATAAAATGAGGATAAGATAAAATTCTTTGAATTAGAATAGCGGTTCGCTTGATTGTTATTTTATTTTGGCTGAATCGCACATTGGTGGTGGTGATAGGCTTACCTACTTATTTACATAAATATGTTAGGTCAAAAGATCGCCACTCAAAAAAGTATTAGAAACTACAAAATTATAGAAATCAATTTGTGGAATTAAAAAAATATCAAAACAAATATTGAAGAGATCGCTTCATAGCGATAAGACCGCCTAGTTGTACCTTGTGTGTTCCTTTTCTTTCTGTCTTGTCTTATCTTTGGTGTGCAATAAAGTGTATTTATTATTATTATTATTGACACTACGCATTTTGATTAGCAAGCTGGAAACATCATGTCGCAGGGACTTCCATATCTGTCTATTGAGCTGCCAATGTGCCTTAGCGTCAACGGAGGTCTGCAGTGTCATTGAACGTCGTTCAGAAAGAGGTCAATCGTCGAATTCAACTCGGCTGGGCAGCGTTCGGGAAGCTACATAGCATCTTTTCGTCCAAAATACCTCAATGCCTCAAGGCGAGTCTGTAATCAGAGTGTGTTACCAGTGATGACCGCTCCGAAACGTGACCTCTCACCATAGGCCTCATAAAGAAGCTCAAAGTTGCACAGCGTGCTATGGAAAGGGCTATGCTCGGTGTTTCTTTACGAGATCAAATCAGAAATGAGGAGATCCGTAAACGAACTAAAGTCACTGACATACTTAGCCCGACGGATTAGCAAGCTGAAGTGGCAGTGGACAGGGCACATAGTACGCAGAACTGACGGCCGATGGGGCAGCAAGGTTCTGGAATGGAGGCCGCGTACCGGAAAACGCAGCATGGGACGTCCACCCACAAGGTGGAACGACGACCTGATAAAGGTAGCAGGAAGGCACTGGATGCAGGCCAACCGTGCGATGTGGAAGTCATTGGGGGAGGCCTATGTTCAGCAGTGGACGTCCTATGGCTGAAATGTGATGATGATTTTAATCAGCCCTTACGTTCAAACCTGAATACAGACCTCTAAGATTACCAGATTGACTCACCTAATAAAGATAGAAGGGACCATACTTCCTTCAGTAATGTAGTGTAAAGGTTTGGCTAAACCAACGCGATCACACGCGATCGGCCGGCGTGCAGCGATGGCGATCAATGCTTTTAAGCTTCGGCCAAACCAACGCGATCACTACGCGATCAACCGGCGTGCAACGATGGCGATCAATGCATTTTAAGTCTGATCGCCATCGCTGCACGCGCCGGCTGATCGCGTGTGACTGCGTTGGTTTGACTGAACCTTAATTAGTTATATCTAAGGGCAACAAAACGGTCATTCTCACGATCAGGCGTTCTCAGCCTAATTACCATATCATTTTTGAAATTTGGCTTAATTGACTTAAATGCATTTAAATATAAAACACATGAAAAGTACGAATTTAACAATCGTAAAGGCGTCAAATTATTCAAAGCGGTTTTCGCGTAAATGAGATCCAAAAATTTTATGGTCACGGTAATTAGATAAGGCTAATACTTAATCTAACGGTAATTAGAAAAGATGTGTTAAATAGCAAAAAAACAACATCTTGCATTGATAAATTTGTATACAAATATATAGCGTCATAAAAAAGCTGTAGGTAGGTACACTTAATAAACCCTTTGCAAAAAGAAAAACACTAATTTCTATTATTTACCTATTGTATCAAGATATTTTCAGTATACTGCAAGAATCGAGGCTATAACAGGAACACTTAGTTTCAGCAAGAAGGGGCTACGTGTCACATTTCAAATGAGATCATTTAGCTGAATCAGAATCTTAATCATAATTTATTTGATTTAATGTGGTACAAATGGATTTAAATCATTACGGATAATTATTGGATCAGGAGGTCTCACGAATTAGACTTTTCGGATATGCATATATCGAAAAAGTAATTAATGATATAAGTGATTTTTCCTCTTTTTAATCTATCTGCGATCAGCCATCAGCCATTATCAGATTAAATTGAATTTGTAATAATTACAGTTCCAGCTCTGCATATCCCATGATTTGTCACCTCGATTCTTTTACAACAAGTTTTCAGATTGATGCTATTCGCTTTCTAATTTAGAAGGAACGCAGCAAATAGATTTCATGACGGTCTAGTCTTTGTTTGTAAGCTTTACAGGAATTTTCTACACCCTCTTTGACATTTGGTATCACTTCAGTGGACTTTGTAAACCAAGGTGCACAGCTCAAGATTTTTAATACTTTATTTTGAAAACGTTGAAGTATTTCTACATTTGCGAGGCTAAGTCGATGCCATTTATGTCTCTTATGGGTCTTAGGGTGCATTTGTATATAGTTTGTTCTCCAAGCTTCTTCTGCCCAGAATCCATTGCATATCACGAAGTTTTTTCTATGCATAACAAATCAGTTAGGATGCAGTCTAGGATGGTTCAAAGTGCCTATACACTCTTGTCTTGAAAAGTCCCATTGTCTGTTGATTTGTTCCCTTTTGTTCTTAATGTTATCACGCCAGGTAAGTGTTAATGTTGGACAATGTCATCTTCTTAGGGCAAAGGTAATATGGATAGATTTTAATGGTATTATATTAGAATTAAGTAATGATTTAACATGTAAATATCAATGATATTAATAGTAAAAATAAGTGTCTGGTACGAGACATGTTTCACGCAGGGGTGACATCTCCTGGCCATCAAGAAGCCCCGATTTCACTCCAGCTAACTTCTTTTTGTGGGGTTACCTTAGGGGTTAAAATATACTCTAAAATCCAACAACCATGCAGCAACTGAAGCTGAACATTCGTCATGAAATCGAATCTATTTCGAGGTTACTCTAACGAAAGCTTTTCAAAATTTTGATGTCCGATTGGAAGAAAAGTCCGTAAAGTTGTTATGGGAAAGTCTAGGTATATTTCATATTTTATCATCATACTTATTCAATCGTGAGTGCAATTTGTAGGTAATAATTTCATACAACGGTGATTATAAATATATGGTAATTAGTACATGGAAATTATAAAACGATAGTTTTTCTTCAAAATTTCCAAAATCTGCAGCGTATGCAAATACTGTCTTACTACAACGTATGAAGGCCAAAGTACTGATTCTATTTAAATTAACAACGTGGATCTACCTTCAAAAATCGAATATAAAAATAAGGACATGGTAAATAGAAAAATTGAAAACCAAAGATATGGTAATTATACTCTTACGCAATTCATCGACGGTACGCCAACGCAATAGACGTCTACTTGCTAACAGGTCTTAGAACTAACTAAGGGCTCGCGCCGCGCGCGTAAATGATGTGTCAAATATTATTATTTAGGCTTGTGTGCCCAAAAACAGAAAACGTCACGGGAATTAGGACTTTCGCTCGGACAAGCAGTTTTTTAATTCTAATTATTTACATAATGGTTCTATTGAATAGATATGTTGCATAAGACAGTCTTTTGTACTCTTTAAAATGTTGAATGGAGTGAACCAAATCTATAAGACATAAAAATTACAGCCAACTTTTAACATCAAGTCGGTGTGCGGACGCGTAACGGTAATTAGAGAACAGAGGTTCATGAAATTAATTAAGTCACAAATACTTAAAATAGAGGCCTATGATTTAATGCACAACTGGATAGGGTTGTTAAGTAACATATAAAAATACTTGCATGTCTCTAATTTGTCATTTTTAACGATTTAACAGCCCGGACACGCAAAAACTAGCTCATCTGAGAATGGCCGAAAAATAGTTGCAAATTTTGCAAAAATACTTCTTTTGGTACGGATAAAGTACATTCAGGGGATAAGATAAGTGCCTAGCTAGGTTTTATTAGCAAATGATTCTTTTTCAACATCGAGAATTGCTTGAATCTACTCGTTAGGAGTCTTCTTTGTTTGTGCTTGTAGATATTTAACAGAATATGGCAACAAAAACTATGATTCGTGCATAGAATTTTAGATAAGATATACCTCTCGTTCCCATCGCTGCAACTACTGTGTAGCCAGGATCTACAGCTTGAACGCCAATAAAAACCCAACTAGTGAAGGTTAAGTTTGTCTCGGGGGAAAGTAAAACTGTCAGTGGACCCGCGACGAAATTAATCAGAAGAACATAGGAGGAGGAACATTCGAAATTAAGGTTCGACCTATCTACAGTGCAAAGTGGATAACAGAAGACAAAACAAAGGTTTAAGTAACCTTTAAGACAAGATAAATGCACTACGGACAGTCAGTAAGCATCAATATTATAAGGACCTATCTTGTGAAATATTAGCTACTGGTCAATTACTAGCTGACCTGGCGAACTTCGTGCCGCCCCATTAAAAAGTTGTCTTAACTTATAGAATACAAATGGCATCATTAATTTATAAAGGTATTCTGTTTGACCAATAAATAAATATGTATATTTTGACAATAGTTCGGCGAACTTCGAATGAATTTGTGAAAAGAATTCAGTTGACCTCAAGACAGTGTTTTATTCACTAGTATTAGTAGTCCCCCAGTCAGTGTAGGTAGGAGTGAGTGATATCGGCTAGGGAGTGCTCAGGGTTCACCCTTCCTTTCTTCCGGAATTCCTTCAGGAATTCCACCCTCTTCTAAGGGAGGGTTAAACAAATACATTGTACAAATTAAACATAGAAAACACCAAAAAGATCTAGGTTGTATTTATGCCACATAACATAAAGTAATATAAGATAATAAATACTTACATGACCATCAAATTGGTCCTCTGTGGCATGATCAACGTCAATCCTCAGTGACGCCCATCCAGGGATGAAGCTTGCATCCATCGACGAATACACCACCGTATTAATGGTGCCATAGTTCCCATTGTCATTTAATTCCTGAATTACGATAATCAGCTGTTTGACCATGGGTTCATTGTCCATGTACAAGTTGATTTCAATTACACCATCAACACTCATAGGAAAGGTGGACGATGCGACGCAACTCATTGAAATTGCTGGAGTGATAAAGGACTCGGATAGAGGATGAGGGCTTTCTACGGCTATTGAGGAGTAATTTGCAAGTGTCCAAGGTACCAGGAAGGCATTATCACCACAAATTCCTTTTCCCGGATCAAATTGGGTTTCAAAGTCATTCTCGAAGTTGAATGAGACGCAATCGCTGCACAGTACACTCGGACTTATGAACAGCCACACAAAACACAGAAGAGCCGCTCGCGGCATCCTGATGACACGGTTGAGCCGGACGCTCCGACACTAACTTATAATGAAGATCAAAATTAAATCTCTGTTCGAATTTAATTAATCTCTAACTTATCGAAATATAAAATGAGGATAAGATAAATATTTTGAATCAGGATCGCGGTTTGTTTGATTGCTACTTTTGATTGATCGAATCGCAGATCTTTGGAAGTGATAGACATACTTATTTATGATAATGTCAGAAACCTACAATCAACCAAAATTAAAATGCAACGTAATTACAGTCTAAAAGTATTTTAAATTACAAAATTATTGAAATGCAGCTGGGCGGTTACAAAATATTCAAAACAACGTAAGTATGAATTATTCAAACTTGTTTCTATACAGAATACAGATTATCTCTAAGATTATCTGAGTAATCTAGCAAGGTCTATTATTTTCGGTGCGATAATACTTTCGTTAGTTTCAGCTAAATGACGTCCACTGCTGGATAAATTGGAGGAATGGCGCCGTATTACGAGGAATGAATCGTGATTCACAATGATGACCACGACCACTCTGACAAAAGTGTACCGACTGAGAAGAAGAAGAAGAAGCTGGATAAATTCCTTCCCCAAGTATTTCCACAACGACCGATTCTGCGTTGTCCGCATCCAGGTGCATCCCACTACCTTTACCAGATCGTCGGTCCACCTAGTTGGAGGCCTGCCCATACTACGTCTTCCGACTCGTGGTTGCCACCCAAAAACTTTTCTGCCTCAGCCTCCTCAGTTTGGTAATTCTGCGGGCTATGTAGGTTACTTGTACTATCACTTAACTAATGTTATAAAAAAACCGGCCAAGTGCGAGTCGGACTCGCGCACCGAGGGTTCCGTACAAACCTGTAGGTCTATGTATAACTTTGATTTTGTTACAGCTTAAAGGTATTGTAGACCTGAGTATTTCATATAAATTTCAATTTAACATACCTGTGCGTGCATAAAGAAAGGGGTAGTAACTTTAAAATGATTAAAAATGCTCATAACACTTACGTGACCATTAAATTCGTTCTTTGTGGGATTTCCAACGTCAATCCTCAATGATTTCCATCCAGAAATGAAATTTGCGGCGATTGGCGTATACACCACTGTACCAATGGTGCCATAGGTTCCATTTCCATTCATTTCCTGAGTTATGATGATAACCTGGTTGACTAGTTGTTTATCGTCCATGTACAAGTTGATTTCAATAACACCACCAACGCTCATAAGAAAGTTGAATGATGTGACGCAACTCAACAAAACTGCTGGAGCGATGAAGTTCGTGGATAGAGGATGTGGGATGTCGATGTCTATCGAGGAGTAATTTGAAAATATCCAAGGCACTACGTTTGGGTTATCTCCACAAACCCCTTTATCCATGTCGAAAAGCGTATCAAAGTCATTCTCGAAGTTGTATGAGACGCAACCGCTGCACAGTACACTCGGGCTTATGAACAGCCACACAAAACACAGAAGAGCCGCTCGCGGCATCCTGACGACACGGTTGAGCCGGACGCACCAACAATTGCATCTAATTAAGATCAAAACTTAATTCAATTAATCTTTAACTTATCAAAACATAAAATGAGGATAAGATTACATTTCTTGAATTGAATTGCGGTTCGTTTGATTTGCTACTTTAGATTGGTCGCATCGCAGATCATTGGTGGTGATAGGCATATAATACATAATAATACTTAAGTCAAATGACCAACAAAATAAAAATATTATCTACAGTATGAAAACATAATGACTGAAATTGACGCTGACGTTACTTTTGGCCTAGTAACCAAGCGTTGAACAAAACTGTTCAGAAAATTATACGCAAACGGAATACTATTAAAAATGAATAAACATCGCAAGGAAATACGAGTAGCATAAAGCGCAAGGAAAATAATGAAGTAGGTATATTTCAGTCAGAATTCTTGAATGAATCATTAACAAAGTCAACAGTGAATTCTGAAGATAGAAGGACAATACTTGCTCTGGATCAGGGTGAATGTCTTGTGGCCATTATAATTAGGAGGCCATTATAATTAATATTTAAGGAATTTACAGAAATTAATATTATTAGTACGGATAGAAACACTTGAAAATAACTTAGTATTCAGGTAAATATTATAGTTAGTTAACTCCTAGCCAGTTAATATCAGCAAAGTGTTTCTTTTCAACATTACGTGGTTACTATTACTCGCCAGGGATCTCCTTTGTTTGTTCTTGTGGGTTTGTATCTTAGGGTTTTTAAACTAATAAAATAATATTCAAAAGGGCAACAAAATCCTTGATTAGGGCATAGATTTTTAATTTGTAGATTTACGTTATTTTTCAACTGTCATACTTCACTAAAATCATTATTGCTTTCAAAAGTTTAATAATTATATTTTACTTAAAGACGGAGACATAATAAATTGGCTACTTACGAGTATTATTACAATAGACCACTTTAATTTCTTACCTATTTCTGTTTTCTTACTAAATGGACATGAAGTACACGAGTATCTACGTCATACAAACATCAAGTAACAATATAAACAATGTATCTCTTAATTTTATTTAAAGTTGTTGCATTTCATGAAGGCGAGTGAGCTTTACATGTGTAGTGGCTCGTTACTGTTCGTTTTTCAAACGTTTTGATAGACATTACACTATCGTTATGTGCATGTACACGTACACACACAAGTAAAGCTCACTCGCCTTTGTGAGTTTCAAGAACTATACTACATGTGAAACATTTACATTTTGGAACTAAGTATTCTAGAATAAATACCTTACACACTATGAAATATGATTTGAATATTTATAACGGTAAGTTCCGCCTAAATGATTCCATCTTCTATGCTTCTTAACCTTGGCATGGTAACGAGTTGGGGCAGCTGGTCATCGTCCTCAGTGAATACAGTTGGTATTTCTTGAACGACAGTCGTTGAACTAAGCTTGAAAATGGCGAATCCAACCAAGCCCACTGCCGCGACTGAGCCCACAGTGACGAGAGATATTGAAAGGGGTGTCCAAAATCCCACTGCTTCTTCATTTTCAGGTGGTACTGTTGTGGTTTCTCCGTCAGATTCTGATATTGTAGTTTCAACTATATCGTCAGTAGTTGTTAAAGTGGTTTCCAGCGTTGTCGTGTCAATTTCTGTTTCAGTAGTTGATATAGTTGTCTCCGGCGTTGATGTTGGTAGATCTGTTGGTGTTGTGTCAGTTTCTGATGTAGAAACAGTTGTAGTACTTGATTCAGTAGTAGTTGGTGTATTTGTTTCTGTTACTATTATTTCTGTTGTCGTGTCTGTTTCTGTATTTGTAGTCAGTTCTGTGGTTGTGGTTGCGTCAGTTTCGGTATTTGTAGTTATTTCTGTGGTTGTGGTTGCGTCAGTTTCTGTATTTGTAGTTATTTCTGTGGTTGTAGTTGGGTCAGTTTCGGTGGTAGTAGGGACATCAGTTTCTGTGGTAGTAGGGACATCAGTTTCTGTAGTAGTAGGGACATCAGTTTCAGTGGTAATAGGTATATCGGTTTCAGTTGTAGAAGGTATATCAGTTTCAGTTGTAATTGGTATATCAGTTTCTATGGTAGTAGGGACATCAGTTTCAGTGGTAGTAGGGACATCAGTTTCAGTGGTAGTAGGTATATCGGTTTCAGTTGTAGAAGGTATATCAGTTTCAGTTGTAGAAGGTATATCAGTTTCAGTTGTAATTGGTATATCAGTTTCAGTGGTAGTAGGTACATCCGTTTCAGTGGTAGTAGGGACATCCGCTTCAGTGGTAGAAGAGACATCAGTTTCAGTGGTAGTAGGGACGTCAGTTTCAGTGGTAGTAGGTATATCGGTTTCAGTTGTAGAAGGTATGTCAGTTTCAGTTGTAATTGATATATCAGTTTCAGTGGTAGTAGGTGCACCAGTTTCAGTGGTAGTAGGGACATCAGTTTCAGTGCTAGTAGGGACATCAGTTTCAGTGGTAGTAGGGACGTCAGTTTCAGTGGTAGTAGGTATATCGGTTTCAGTTGTAGAAGGTATATCAGTTTCAGTTGTAATTGGTATATCAGTTTCAGTGGTAGTAGGGACATCAGTTTCAGTGGTAGTAGGGACATCAGTTTCAGTGGTAGTAGGTATATCGGTTTCAGTTGTAGAAGGTATATCAGTTTCAGTTGTAATGGGTATATCAGTATCAGTGGTAGTAGGAACATCAGTTTCAGTAGTAGTAGGGACATCAGTTTCAGTGGTAGTAGGGACGTTAGTTTCAGTGGTAGTAGGGATGTCAGTTTCAGTGGTAGTAGGTATATTGGTTTCAGTTGTAGAAGGTGTATCAGTTTCAGTTGTAATTGGTATATCAGTTTCAGTGGTAGTAGGTAAGTCAGTTTCTGTGGTAGTGGGTATATCAGTTTCAGTAGTAAATAGTGGATCTGTTTCGATGGTAGCAGGTACATCTGTTTCGGTGGTAATAGGTAAATCAATTTCTGTGGTAGTAGGTATGTCAGTTTCGGTGGTAGTAGGTACATTGTCTTCAGTGGTAGTAGGTATGTCAGTTTCGGTGGTAGTAGGTACATTAACTTCGGTGGTAGTAGGTATGTCAGTTTCGGTGGTAGTAGGTACATTAACTTCGGTGGTAGTAGGTATGTCAGTTTCGGTGGTAGTAGGTACATTGTCTTCAGTGGTAGTAGTTATGTCAATTTCTGTAGTAGTTTGGATATCAATTTCCGTAGTAGTTGGGATATCACTTTCTGTGGTACTAGGTACATCTGTCTCTGTAGTTGTCGCTATAACAATTTCAGTGGTAGTAGGTATGTCAGTTTCGGTGGTAGTAGGTATGTCAGTTTCAGTAGTAATAGGCATAGTTTCAGTTATTGTAGGTATATCAGTTTCGATGGTAGTAGGTAACTCAATTTCTGCGGTGGAGATAGGTAGATCTGCTTCTGTGGTTAATATATCGATGGTAGTCGGTGTGTCTTCTTCTGTAGTAGTAGTTACATCAGTTATGAGTAAATCGGTGGTTGTTTCTACATTGGTTGTTGTAAGATCTGACTCAGTCGTAGAAGCTTCATCTTCAAAAGTATCTTGAATTGGAACTTCGTCGTACGAGTATATTGTTATAGTATGTGAGATAATTTCGGCAATATCAAATGAAATATTATCTACAATGAACGTTGATCCTTTTGCGATATGAGCATGCAGTACAACCTGAAATAAATAAGTGGGTGAAGTTTAATATGCAATTGATTATGTAGTTTTTTTATTGATTTGAGATTCATTTCACATTTTACATTGATGTGTTAAGTTAAAATGTGATTCTAAATAATTCTAACACTGATAAAAATATGCAAAAAAAGCTTGAATATGAAACAAATGGTGAAATCGGCTTCATTGATTTAAAGTGATAAAGATTATAAAGATCTTAAAGTTTTTTACAGTAGGTAATGATGATTGTACAAACTATTTTCAATAATTTAGATACTTTTCAAAATACAAATACTTACGTATCCATATCTGTATTCTCCCTTCACATCCACTTGGATAACATTCCACCCATCCTCGAGCTCCCAGTTATTATACATCGAAACATCTTTGATGGCGACCGCTGCATCGTCGCCATCAACACTCTTCTTAAACACCATCAACGACAGAGAATCCTCTTCAGACTTCGACGACAAGTACACGTTGGCTTTAACAACACCGTTTGAGAGATAGAACAATTCTGATTGCACACACAGGTCAACTTTTGTAAACTCTCCATTCACACCATATCCGAGATTCGTTGAGGGGTATTCCACGCATGATTTCGGATCGAAGAAATCTTTGTCACACGACGAAACAGCAAGTGAAATAAGTATTAAAAATAATCGGCACATTTCAGTATCCGTGCGCGTGCTATGTATTAATCAGTGATTTTGTTGTGATCAGAAACGCCGTAGATAGGGCAGTATTTTATCATAATTGGCCCGTGATTTTTCTGATTACGGTAATTGATAGGCTATCTTGATTCTTTTGCTTGCGGCGTTCAAGTGCAGTGTCAAATTATTTTTTTGCCTGGGTATCCCAGTTTTTTAAAATAAGATGTGCTGCTACAATCTCAGCAATTTTTTTTTGTAATCTAAAACGCGGGAGCTGCCTGCATCTCGCCTGATGAAAAGCTATGATCATGGCTATTTCTTTAGTGCCTTTGTTATTATGTAATGCTATAGCCATGCCATGCCCTTATTGGAAGTTTAATATCTACAAAAATCTATCATCATCATCATCATTTCAGCCATAGAACGTCCACTGCTGAACATAGGCCTCCCCCAATCACTTCCACATCCCACGGTTGGTAGCGGCCTGCATCCAGCATCTTCCTGCTACCCTTATCAGGTCGTCGGTCCACCTTGTGGGTGGACGTCCCACGCTGCGTTTTCTAGTACATGGCCTTCACTCCAGAACCTTGCTGCCCCATCGGCCGTCAGTTCTGCGTACTATGTGCCCTGTCCATTGCCACTTCAGCTTGCTAATCCGTCGGGCTATGTCAGTGACTTTAGTTCGTTTATGGATCTCCTCATTTCTGATTTGATCTTGTAAAGAAACACCGACATAGCCCTTTCCATAGCATAACAAAATCTATAATAATATTATAAAGAGGCAAGATTTGTTTGTAACAAATAAAAATCAAAAACTACTGGACGAATTGAAAAATTCCTTCACCATTACAATCCACTTACGATAGGTATTTTTTAAATATTTTTTAAGTTAGATAACAGTAGTTATGCAACACGTTAGTGTGAAGTCAGGGCGGGTTGCCAGTTCGCAGATTCGCCAGTATAAATTCGTGTCAGGTATACCTACTGTCAGCAGCTTTTTACACAAAGCGGTATGTACGAGTCCTCTGGGAATAGTACCATAACTTAGAAAAAAGGCTGGGAAAGCGACATGAAACGAAAACTCCCCTCTGTGTCATGCTAGTTTCGGCCTCTAACTTTGATTTAGGGTCTTGATCGTCATTAGAGCAGTGCTAATGTGAATGAATTATTTTTAGGGTTCCGTACCTCAAAAGGAAAAAACGGAACCCTTATAGGATCACTTTGTTGTCCGTCTGTCCGTCCGTCTGTCAAGACCCTTTTTCTCAGGAACGCGTGGAGGTATGAAGCTGAAATTTATATCAATTACTCAGGTCTACTGTCCCTTGAAGCTGTGAAAAAATCAAACTTCTAAGCCAACGCAATCAAAAGATACAGCCGTTTATGCCGCAAATTTTCGACACTTGCAAGGGAATCAAAACCTACAGGGTGCTNGGACGTGCGGTATTTCGGGGTGCTAAGAAGCATAACAATAATCTATACTAATATTACAAAGTGGCAAGATTTGTTTGTAACAAATAAAATCAAAAACTACTGGACGAATTGAAAAATTCCTTCACCATTACAATCCACTTACGATAAGCATTTTTTAAATATTTTTTTAAGTTAGATAACAGTAGTTATGCAACATCGTTAGTGTGAAGTCAGGGCGGGTCGCCAGTTCGCAGATTCGCCAGTATAAATTCGTGTCAGGTATACTGTGGGTATACTGTCAGCAGCTTTTTACGCAAAACGGTATATACGAGTCCTCTGGGAATAGTACCATAACTTAGAAAAAAGGCAGGGAAAGCGACATGTAACGAAAACTCCCCTCTGTGTCATGCTAGTTTCGGCCTCTTACTTTGATTTAGGGTCTTGATCGTCATTAGAGCAATGCTAATGTGAATGAATTATTTTTTTAGTTTGCACTCATATTCAAAACTAGCTTTTGCCCGCAGCTTCACCCGCGTGAAATTTAGTTTGTCACACACAGAGCGTAATAAATTATAGCCTATATGAAATTTTGGGTTATAAACAATAATACTGTAAAGTTTCATCAAAATCCGTTCAGTAGTTTTTGCGGGAAAGACTAACAAACATGATAACATCCATACAAACATTCGCATTTAAAATATTAGTAAAGAAAATAAGTAACAGACAAAATCATCTGTACCTAGCTTATACTTTAATGTCTCTATTTATAACACTAATCTACCTTATCTGATTAAATTTAACTATTCAATCTTATCATGATAGTTTTTACACTTTCCCTCCAGGTGACATTACAAAATTCCATCCTGTATGTTAGACCCAATAGAAAAACAAGCCACTATTGTGTTATTAAGTGACAAATGGGAATTTTCATCATAGTCTCCTGCTCTGAATCAGGACCTGCTCTTGAGTAGACATCACCTCAACCATTAATAGAGACTTGTTGTACCACCATTGCACTGTACCATATTCACCCGAGTCTTACACCAGAATTCACAAACATTATCCATGAGGTCTCAAAGTGGACGCACAGGGTCCCAAAAACCTATTCATAGACAATAATCTACTTAGCGGCGAAGTGATACACACGAACCAATCATAGAGCTCTATTCAAAGCAAATATCGTTTGTGAATACGGGTGTTATTTTAAAGGATCTCGATAATTCTAATTTTACCCTGTATAGGTTTAAAAAATGTCGCCGTAACCTGCCCTTTAGCTTAGGCGCAGACCACCGATTTTTGTCGGGCGAAAATTTTTAGGGCAGTTAATCAGTGTGGGCTTGTATGGAAGTGCGCACATAACCCCGATTTAGTATCGACCGATTCTTCATACAAATGGAAATCGTTCTCAATTATCGGCCCACTAAAAGTCGGCGTAACCTGCCCTTAAATAGACTGACTCATATAGGTAGTAGGTACCCATTAATAGAGACTCGATCCAGCATTAGGTTACGGAGCAATCGCACCGCAGCCAGTTAATATCTGTAATTGATATGCAAACACGTCCCGCCACGGATTACGTTATACTACTGTGATTTACTGTGCCGATGTACCGCGAAATATACGTTGCCGTTGCTATCTAATCTACAATTCGGTTGATTGGACGTAGATTTTAAAGATTGGTGGAATGAGGTGTACTTAGTAGTAGTTAAAACCTTAGAATATTATCTTTCTTAAAAGTTTACTTGTCAACAAAGGACGTTCACTGATGATCAAAGGCCTTCTCCAAAGATTTCCTCGATGACCGGTCCTGCGCTGCCTGCGCTGCACGCATTCAGGCTCTCCCTGCAACCTTCGCTATACATATAGTCGGTCTATTGGTTTAATTTAAAACATAACCCTCCTTCTGACGCAGTTGAATAAAATCTAACTATTTAAGACAAATACGACAACGTTGTTTATAAGGAGCAATACTTACTTACTTTTCACTGATATAGTCACTTGGAAAATATTGATAAAATCCTACGAATATTAATCAAAATAAGATAGCTGCGCTGGCCAATCTTTGAAACCTATGAACATTGAACAAAACCGGATTTTTTTGTAATATTTGCACATCGTATGTACGATAGATTGTTGGAAACTTCTCTCTCTATAACCATTTGTAATCGTATTCTGGCAAATAAATGATTTATTACTATTATTCCAACATTTCCAACTCTTCACTTAGCCATATTGAAGGAACTGTAAATGACCTGCTCTACACTCTACAAACACGAGAGTTCGTGCCTATTTTTGCGAATATTTTTTTTTATACCCTTTTTCTAAAAATGTCTAAATACGAGGCATTTGAAGAGAGGCTGGCTGGTTAGGTACGCCGTCATCTCGATTTAAAAAGGGCTAAGAATAGAGCACTAAAAAGCTGTCAGCATGTTACTATCCAAGGCATATCGCGCGCATTCCAAGCTGCACAACAAAGGCTGTCAACGCTGCCTTCCTTTGTCCTGTCGCTAAAAAGAAATTGCCTTCAGCTGAATGGAATTCAATATTGAAACTTTTGCCTAACATTACAGATTTATTAAGGCCGCTTGTTGGGAAGGTGACAGGTGGGTTTTTGTGTAACGATTTAGACAAACCTTTGGTAAATAAAACAAATGAAAAACGTTATTTTTATTGGACTTTTTGAAATAGAATAGAATATACAGTTTGGACTTTTTGGTCAAGATCCTGATTTCAATTTTCTGATGGCATCCAAGAATCACTACACAATCATTGTTTCTGGTATGCTTAGGGTTTACTTGCTTTATGATTTCCTGAAAATAAAAATGATTCTGTGCTTCGGGGGCACATTAGACCATCGCTCCGATTGATCCCTGTCCATGAAATAGAACGAATAGAACACGTCATCCCGCATATCTGTAGACCAAGGTCTGGACCAGGACCTGTGTCTCAAGTAGGGCATGCAAAAACCGAGCGGTTTGGAAAAACCGGTTTTTTCGGTTTTTATTTTTAAAAACCGAACTAAACCGGTTTTTTCGGGTTTTTCGGGTTTTTCGGGTCGACTGTTTGTAAGTAAATAAAAATGCTGCAAATTATAATAAAAATCATTTTATTTCTTTTATATTCTAGTTTGACAAGATGAAGTTACATGTTCTGAACATAATATTGTGAGATCAATTGAATAGTTTAATTAAAAATCAAATATAAAGAGATCAACAATAGGATACTTCGCTCATTAGCAAAGCAAAACCTTTGGTCAGGACTTCTTGGCGGGAATCTGAAGCGTCATGTTAGCGGTTTTGTTTTATTTCCTCAAATTCGTGTGTGGGCGACTATTAATGTGTAATAATGGTGGATTATTAACCATTGAGTGTTCGTGAACGTCCATGGGTGTGGGCAAGTGAAGCAAAACAGTGCATCGTGATTCTTCTGGTTCTCTCAAGTTGTCCATAGGAGGTCTCAGTAAAGCACCACAACTTTACTGAGACTCAAAGGGTGGGAAAGGGTATCATCTATCATCCTTCATTATATCATTACTTGATCTCATTTTGTAACTCGTATCACTTATATACTGGAAAATGGCACAAATCAAGTCGACCTCGACGTGTATTGCCAACATCATCAAAAAAGAAGAAGAAA